TACAGGGAGAGTTTGATTCTTTCGAATTAATCCAGATACCTCGAGGAGAAAATGGTCGAGCGGATCTGTTAGCTAAGGTGGCACAAAGTCTGGTGGATTGCAAGACTAGAAATGTGACCTTGCTACAGATGGAGGTGGTCGAGAAGGAGGTGGTCGAGATAGAAGAAGTCGAGGATTGGAGGGCACTGATAATAAAAGAATTGAAGGAAGGAGCCATTAAAGTAATAAGGAGATTTTTTGAGCACGGAGGGATTCTCTACAAGAGGTCGTACGCGGGCCCCCACTTACGATGTGTAGCCGGAGAAGAAGGGCGATATGTGTTGAAGGAGATCCACGAGGGGTGTTGCAGCGACCACGGCAAGGCAGGTTCCCTGGTGGCAAAGGCCCTAAGGGCAGGATATTTCTGGCCAACAATGAGAGAAGATGCAAAACATATGGTGCGGAAATGTTTGCAATGCCAGAAACACGGTCCACTTATTCACCAGCCGGCCGAAGCCATGACAGTGATGAGTTCTTCCATCCCGTTCGCTCAATGGGGGATCGACCTGGTTGGGCCCATGCCCCAAGGAACTGGATAGAGAAAGTTTTTGATTGTCGCAGTCGATTACTTCACAAAGTGGGTGGAAGCTGAACCTCTGGCAAAGATCACGAAAGAGAAGGTGATACATTTCCTATATGACAACATATGCTGCAGGTTCGGAGTTCCTAAAGTGCTGGTGTCAGACAATGGGACCCAATTCAATGGCAAGCGGATCCGGGCATGGTGCGTGGACATGAAAATTGATCAACACTTCGCTTCAGTCGCACATCCGCAAGCCAACGGACAGGTCAAAGTTACCAACAGGATTATATTAAACGGTCTGAAAACGAGGTTGGAGAAGGCATCGGGAGCATGGGTGGATGAACTTACTTCGGTGCTATGGGCGTATAGAACAACGCCCCGATCGACCACTGGAGAAACATCGTTAGCATGGTATACGGTATGGAAGCTTTGCTGCCGATAGAGGTTGAGCTCCAGTCCCAGAGATCGAGCACGTATGATCGAGAGCAGAATGAAAATTTGATGATGACAGCGCTCGACACGATCGAAGAACTTCGAGAAAGAGCCTCAGTCAGAGTGGAAGCATACAAGCAGAGGATGCGGGCAACACATGATAGAAAGGTGAAAATACGAAGATTCCAGGTGGGTGACTTGGTGTGGAATAGAGTCGATGTGCTGAAGCACGTCGGGAAACTAGAGCCAAACTGGGAAGGACCATACCTGGTCGAAAAGGTCCATGCTGGAGGGGCATACTCTTTAAAAGATGCTGAAGGAAGATCTCTAGCCAGGTCATGGAATGTGGCTAACTTAAAGAAATATTATGCTTAAATTTTTTTCTTTTTTACTCATTACCACCAATGTAATGAAATGCTTTGCTCGATGATGAATGAAATGGCGTATTGAAGTTTTTACAATTTACTGTTTACCGAATTAACTTTATATAGTCGGAATCCCTGGATTAACCTTGATGACAGGCTGTATGTGAAAAATCCATCATGATTAAGGCCAGGAGGCTGGATGGTCGTATGGAACGACCACTCCTTCGAGGGTGGGCATGCGTTTTCAAGCGAAAATCCATCATGATTAAGGCCATGAGGCTGGATGGTCGTATGTAACGACCACCCCTTTGAGGGTGGGCATGCGTTTAAAAGCAAAAATCCATCATGATTAAGGCCAAGAGGCTGGATGGTCGTATGTAACGACCACCCCTTCGAGGGTGGGCATGCGTTTCAAAGGAAAAATCCATCATGATTAAGGCCAGGGGGCTGGATGGTCGTATGTAACGACCACCCATTCGAGGGTGGGCATGCGTTTCAAAAGAAAAATCCATCATGATTAAGGCCATGAGGTTGGATGGTCGTATGTAACGACTACCCCTTCGAGGGTGGGCATGCGTTTCAAAGGAAAAATCCATCATGATTAAGGCCAGGAGGCTGGATGGTCGTATGTAACGACCACCCCTTCAAGGGTGGGCATGCGTTTCAAAGAAAAAATCCATCAGGATTAAGGCAGGAGGCTGGATGGTCGTATGTAACGACCACCCCTTCGAGGGTGGGCATGCGTTTCAAAGGAAAAATCCATCATGATTAAGGCTATGAGGTTGGATGGTCGTATGTAACGACCACCCCTTTGAGGGTGGGCATGCGTTCCAAAGGGAAAATCCATCATGATTAAGGCCATGAGGCTGGATGGTCGTATGTAACGACCACCCCTTTGAGGGTGGGCATGCGTTTCAAAGGAAAAACCCATCATGTTTAAGGCCACGAGGCTGGATGGTCGCATGCTCGACCACCTCCAGGGGTGGGCATGTGTGTATGTGTATGGTCAGACTAAATTATTCAAGTGATCGTGAAGCAAACACACAAACATCAATTAAACAACGACGAATGGACTGGCTAATGAAAGCGTATTATGCATATATCAAAGTTTGTATTAATCATACTCCGAAGTCCGCTTTGGTATTCCCATCGAGAAGTTATGACAAAGGTAACAAATCGAAGTATCAAAAGCATTATTGAAGATCAAGACAAGTCAAAAACAAAATACCACTATTCCACGAGTATTGCATAGTTCATTAGAATACATAATTCAAATTCACAACGGACAAAATGGAAAATACAAAGCTACATCTAAGGAGGAGGAGCTGCGGTCGAATCGGCGTTGCTCTGATTAGCGTTGGGATTGGGCGGATGGCAAGTTTCGGAGGTCGAGTCACAAGCTTCGTTAAGTGGAC